AGTAAAATCTATATATATTAAATGTTAAATAATTTTTTCAGATGGGGAGGCAAAGGTGGCAAAGGAGAGGATCGAGGCGGTGGATCCAGAGAAGAACTTGATCACGTTCAGGGTTATAGAAGGTGATCTGATGAAAGAGTACAAGAGCTTCGTGATAACAATCCAAGTGACTCCTAAGCATGGAGGTTCAGGGAGTGTGGTGCATTGGCACTTCGAGTACGAGAAAATAAACGAGGAGGTGGCTCATCCTGAGACTCTCCTCCAGTTTGCCGTAGAAATCTCCAAAGAAATCGACGAACATCTCTTGGCCGAGGAATAGAGGAGAATACTCCTCGTGTGACTAAATATCCTATCCGTACATGTGTGATTGAAGAATGCCGATTAAAATCACTCTTTGAATGTGGAAAAAAATAAAGAGTTGTGTTGGATATATGAGAATGTTGTATGTTTTTAAAGTGCTATACTCTATTGTGTTTTGTTTGTTTAATAAATTGTCTAATATATGTTTTTTATAACCAAATCTTATTATATAAAGTATATGATATATTGTATAAGGATAAATAAGCCTCGTCTTTCCCTTTAAAGGCCCAGTTTGTCATCAATCCATTAGAAAAAGTGGTAAAGAACCGTACCAATAAATTAAGTAACAAGATCAGTCCATTTGAGAACACATAATTAATTAGTTCCCTATATATGCTTCTAATTAGAGTGATGCAAATAGAAGAAAGATTGTAATTGTATCATGGGACTCTAACCAGCATTCAACTGTTACACTGCAGGACAGTTTTTCAACCAAGGAAACAGCTTATCAAGTTCTCAACTCTGCAAAAAATCGTTTTCCATATATCGTTAGATCATATATTTCTAAGAAATTTTGAATTTGGGAATAAAAAGCTAAGAATATAAAGTTAAGAATATAATTTAAATCTTAACAACTACCTGTTGCCGATAATAAATAGTATATAGCTGAGTAGAGACAAACTCTGTGATTAATGAATATATTCGTTAATGAACGATGCAAAATCTGCAGATGAGTCATAATGATGGGTTTAGGGATCACATGGAACACATGTATACACTACTAAACATAAAATTATTTTAATGAAGACGAATTTTTTATGTGAAACCGTCTAAATAAGTAGCAAAAAAAAAAAAAAGATTTGTCTATCATGTGGATGTCGGAATCCGCAATACAAATTTTATGATGTGTATCGGATCGTCTAGCCTTGCTAATTCGAACAACAATCGTGAAAAGAAAACAAGAGAGTAAAGTCTATGTATCTGTTTCTTGCTCAAGAAATTCCGTCCCTAGTACAATGGTTTTCGTTTTCTATTTATAATTGCGCGATTCGAAACCGAAGTCGTTCATCAAGCCGCAGATCTCGCCCCCATCAATGCTTCTGTTTCGAATCTTCCGGATCTCGTACATCCCGTATGACCCGCCTTTCATTTAATTCACGAAATCCCGACGTTTCACTCGAGCTGGGCCGACTTTTACTGGGCCGTTCTTTTCGTCTCTTGAACCGGGCTAACGGCCCACTTCGTTTCATTGTTCTACCACTTTTCTGGGCCGGATCCGACTTGCGAGATCCAACACCAACAATTTGCCCCCCAAGTGTTCCGAAGTGAACACTTCGGAATACTTTAGATGCTGAACTTTTTCTCAGGCTCGGAGGCTTCGTCGTTAATCCCGCTTTTCCCGGGATTTGGTCTTCAACCGAAGTGACGTTTCGAGATCCTAAGGTATATTTTTTCCCGCGGATCGAGGGATTTTCCTCGGGAAGATAAAGACGCTTCGAGATCCTAGGGTTTCTCACTTTGCCGCCCAATGACCCTCTATATAATCATTGGACTCTTCGGGTTCTGCAAACGCACACGTCGTCATCTTCTTCAAACCGCTTCTGCTTCTTTCCGTATTTAAAGGTAACTCTCTTCTCTCTACTCTTACCTCTTCTTTGATCTTTAACTGCTTTTATAATTCCGGAATCGCTAAGTAGTCCGCCGTCCTAGCTAGTAATCGTTAGGTTTAGGCCAGAAATCTAAAAGATTTCTTAGATTTTCAGCCGTTTGCTCGAAGATTCCCGCTGTTCTTCTTCCGCTCCGCCGTGTTCTTCGTATTCCGGCGATCCGTATTCATTTTTCGGAGAACATCCACCGCTGGACCTTCCCGTTTTCTGGATTTCCACAAAGATCTTCAGAGTTTGCTCAAGCGTGTTCTTGAGTTGTTCTTGAAATATCTTCCCAAATCCCTGGTACCAGATCTGGTTTCGTCTCTACATTTTCCTTGATTGCGTTATGGCTCCGAAGCGAAGCAAAAAGATCCAGAATGAGACTCACATCATGGAAGGCGAGTACGGGAAGTATTTTTCTTCGAATCTCGACAATAAAAGGCTGGCTCTGCTGAAAGGTGCCTGCCAGATCCCTCGTCAAATTTCCATGATTACTCCGGGTCCCCACAGATTCTCCGTGAGTCTCCACCTACCGGTCATACTTGCGCTTTTGAAATTTTCTTTTCAGAATGCGGGCTATCTTTTCCACTTCCCGGCCTTCTGGTCGAATTGATGCACGAGCTCGGAATCGCACTTCCTCAACTATGTCCAAATGTAGTTCGGACCGTCCTGTGCCTCCAGACCCTTGCAGAGGAAAATGGATACCGTATCACGCTATCCGACGTATTCCATCTTTATACAGTGAAGAAGGGGCGAACTCCGGGGACGTTTTTCCTCAGTCCTCGGAGTAATTTCAGAGTCTTCGGGGACTTTCCCGAAAAAGACGAGCAATGGAGAAAATCCTACTTCTTCTTCGCTGTAGACGAATTCTCTTACGGTCCAAATACGGACTATTTCGTTCGCGAATGGACTCGTCGTCCCGGTAGATAGCTCCTTAGGTTTTTCACTGCTTTTTACTCGTCTGTTTTTTTTTTCTAATCTGTCAATGTTTTGCTCTTGCAGTTAAACTTCCGAAGAAACCGCTTTCTCATACCACTGCGGGGCAATTCGTAAAGATTTGCAATCGCAGCGACCTGTCGTGGGAATTGTTCACTTGCGAACGCATCCGGAGTTCGTGTGCCCGAATTTTCTCGCGGTCCGACCTCATTTCTTCCACTCCTCCCTCCTCCCCTGCTGTTGCCACTAACATATCCCCACTTTCCTATCGCGAAGAGAAAAGGCTCCAGAAGGAAAGGGAAAAAGCGAGAGAAGCGAGAGAGAAAGAAGATAAGGCCAGGATGGTGAAGGCCTTGGATGAAGGGAAGTCCAGATCTTCATCTGGTAAAGGGAAGAGTTCGGGTACCGTAGATCCGGTTTCCGAATCGAAGGCCTCTGATGATCGTGATCAAAAGAAGGTGTCTTCGAGAAAAGACATAATCCGGATCTCGGATTCTCGCTCCTCCCGATCTTCTCGGGAAAAAGAAATTTCTGAGGGAGGCCATAGTGCAACCTCCTCAAGGAAACGCAGGAACGAGGAATCTGAAGTTCCTTCTCTTCAACGCAAAAGTCGTTCTCGTCTGAACGACGAGAAAAATCCTTCCGAGGATGCTGGAACCAGTCTGGGGTCAAAACCAGAAGAAAAAAGAAGATTCACAACGGGCCCCGGAGTCCGACTTGCCGACTCAGCTTATTGTCCTGCCTTCGTGGGACTCTGAGAACTGGGGATCCGTCCGTCAGGAGATTCCGATCCCAACTGGTAAGTAGAGTCACTTCGTATTTCTCTCTTCCTTCGAGTTCATTTTGACGTTTCTTTTATTTTAACAGCTCCTCCGAAGTCACCAGCTGATTTCATGAGGAACTTTACTCCTGTTGGGATGAGGATTCCTCCCTTTAGTGACTTGAAGGAGGTCAACAGAGCGAACTACTTTCGCTTCGCTGATAAACTCGGAGAGGTAATTCTTTGAACTCTTCTCCTTATATAAAAATAAAAACTTTTCTTTCGGTCCTCATGAATCTTCGTTTTGACAGTTAATGCTCGAGTACAACACCACCTTCTCCTGCCACGAGTCCCAGCTCTTTCCTGTTAACGAGTTGGATGGCCTCAGGGCCTGGGTTGCCGAACTCGAAGAAGAGATCCGTCAACTCAAGGAGATGGAGGAGGAAAATGCCAAGGCGGTGGCAAAGGCGAACGAGATCCGGGAGCGAATGCTGGAGGCCGAAGGTCGCTGCAACCTTCTTGACATTGCCAAGACTAATCTTTCCGAGAAGCTGAAGATCGGGAAGAACTTGTACCTCGAGGCATGTGACAAGATTACCTCGCTGGAAGCTGAAGTTAAGCGAAGCGAGGAATGGTGCAAGATCGCTGCTGAGAAACGGGATGAGGAGCTCGCAGCAGCGAAAAAAGATGAAAGGATGAGGCTCCGTGAACTCTATAGCGGACTCGCCTCGAAGCATGAGACCTACTACAAGGCCATCAGTGATAACGAGATGATTGGGACGCGTCTTGCCGAGACTCGGGCGAACCGAGAACTTCTTGAGGAGATTCTGAAGGGAGAGATTCCTGATTTAAAAGCCGAACTAGAGTCGGTAAAGAAAGACGAGGAAGAGGCTGAGAAGAAAGCTCGCGAGGTAAGCGCTCTCAGACCTCAACCAAATGAGTTTGCTCATCTCTTTGTAGCGACTCCCCCAGAGCCCGTGCAAGAGACATCTCTTCCCGAAGATGATGTCGCCATTGATGAGTTCGGAACTAACAAGGATTTCATGGCTGGCCAGGACTTCGAAGCTGCCGTTCTGCCCGAGGAGATGCAGCAGGATCCCGACGTCAAGGGTCAATGATCTGGTTCTGGGGTTGTGATGGCTAGTGTGCCCCCCTTTGTTGTTTTATTTTTTAAACTCAAAACCTATTTATCGCTTTTTGAAGACTTGAATATTTCCCCTCTATTTTTATATAAGTCCTTTTGAATTATAAATCCGGAGTATTCGAGAAATCTGAATACCTCGTATGAAAAATTAAGAAATACCTAAGATTTCAACGAAATACGCAGTTTACATGAACTCAGAATTCATTCTTCAATGGATAAGGGAAATACTAAGAACGAGAGTAGAGTGGGTGTTCTTAATAGAAAAAGTGAGGATCGGGACTCGGAGTCCGCAGAAATCCTTAGTCTGTGTTGAACCAGACCCTTTTTTGCTAAGTAAAAATTAGGCTTATCTTTCAAGAATTACCAGAGGTCTGAGCTCGGTTTCGAGAAAAGTAGTTACGAGGTTCTTCTCGGTTTTACGGATTGCGAGATAATTCTCGGCTTCTTTGAAAGATGTTTAGAAGAATATAAACATTTTATTTGATTTAGAGACTGCACTCGAAGTTCGAGCTGCCTACGTACCCAAAGGTGGGGATCAAGTCTATCGTAGTTCGATTTACAATAATGAAAATAATAAAATACTTAAACAAAGTATCTCTTCAGATGAATGGAATTCCAAGCTCTTCGGACAGCTTTTCCTTCCATGTTTTCAAGGCGATAAACTCCATTGCGAACTACCTGAGTAATTCGATAAGGACCTTCCTAGTTGACGCCTAACTTTCCCGCTCCGTCTTCGGCTGTATTTCGCTGAACTTTGCGTAATACTAATGTCCCAACGTCGAAGTGCCGACTTCGGACAGTCGAATTATAGTATCGAGCTGCGGTATTCTGGTAATTTTGCATTCGAATCAAAGCTCGATCACGTCGCTCCTCAATGGTATCAATAGACCGTTCTTGAGTGCAGCAATTGCTGCGGAATCAGACAAATTTGGGATCTGGACCATAATTTCTTTAAAGGAGGTGATGTAAGTCCGGAGCGGCTCTCCGGCTCCCTGTGAGAGGTTCCACAGCTGGGCATCAGTTACATCCCTCTTGATGAAGTATCCGTACTGCATGA